ACTGAAATCAACCCATCAGCCTGTGGTCAACTGCTATCTGACAAGGTAGTAAAACCTACTGAATGGGGAAATGACAGCTTCTTTAACAAATGTTACTGGAAAAACTGGACATCTACCAGGAGAAAACTAAGACAAAGCATATCAGAAATGGTAAGGATGGTGCAGGATAGGGCAAAATTCAGATATACTATTCATAAGGGTAGCTATGAGTTGTAGTAGACTTGAAAATACTCAACAACAGCAGCACAGATGTATATATTGCAAAAGGGTTTTTTAAAGTTTCAAAGTTATCACACAAGTCTTGTTATGTGCCACAGAATGTGTTGTTATATGCCATCGAGTCGCCTGTGACTCACAACAACCCTATTTACAACAGCTCTGAAGTCTGCCTTGTCCTAAGCCCGTCTCAAGGATTCCAACACACCTACCCCCAATTGGCCTAGATACTGTATCAATCCATCTCATCCGAGGTCTTCCCCTCCCACACTGTCCCTCCAACCCTTCCAAGCATGATGTCCTTCTCCAAGGTCTCTATAGGCCACGTGCCCAAAGTATGCAAGATGGAGCTTCAAAATCCTAGCTGCCAAGGAGAAACTTGGTTTCACGCTCTACAGTGCAAACCTATTTGTTTTCTTTGTGAAAAAGAAAAGACTCTTCTCCAGGACCACAACTCAAAAGCATTAGTTCTTCTGTCATCCTTAGTCACTGTCCAGATCTCTGATGCATAGCAAGTAATTGTGAAGACCATGGCCTGGATGAGAAGCACGTTAGTCTCTAGGCTGACACTGTTGCTCCTCAGTGAGGTCCCTGACAGCAGGAGCAGAGCAAGCTGTAATTGTTAACAACCTCAATCTCTTCTCCATCTACCATGGTGCTGCCAATCTGCCCAGAGGTGAGAAACTTTGTCTTCTTGATGTTGATATATCAACATCATGATGATCAATCCATAGTGAAGACTACAGTCCTTGACCTTCTGCAGCAAGCGCTTCAGGTCCTCCTCAGTTTCAGCAAGCAAGATTCTATTATCTGCATAACGTAGGTTGTTGATGAGTCTTCCTCCAATCCTGATACTACATTCCTCCCAGGCTCCTGAATGATCTGTTCTAGTATGACTCATACTGAACAGAACATAAACAACAGAGATGAACTCTTCCTATCCTCAGCCATCCTCATCATCCCAAAAATATTTTAATCCTTTGCTGCAGACATTACATCAGACCATCTCTTTGAGGGTCTTCCTCTCCTTTGGTGACCCTCCACTTTTCCAAGCTTGATGTCCTTTTCCAAGGAATAACCTCTCTGAACAACATGTACAAAATATGTGAGCCAAGGAACATTCCGGTTACACTTTCTCCAAGACATATCTGTTCTTTTGGCAGTCCATGGGATATTCAGTACTCTTCTTCAACATCACAACTCAAATGTATCACAAATTTAATGCCATCAAAAGCCAGGTATTATAATGGATTCTTAAGTAAAAATATTTTTGTTGCTATGTGCTGTCATCGAGTCATCTCTGATTCATAGCAACCTTACGCACAATAGCTCTCAACTTTGTCATATCCTAAATCAATCTCACTGTCTTCCGACACATCTACCTACCCACATTACTCTAGTTACTGTTTCCTGTGTCAATCCATCTCATCTGGAGTCCTCCTCTCCTGAGTTGTCCCTCCACCCTTCCACCTTCTCCAAGGACTGGAGCCTCCGGGCAACATGCCTGAAGTATGTGAGAGAGAGAGCTTCAAAATCCTTGCCTACAAGGAGGAATTTCATTTCCCTCTTTCTAGGACAAAGCTATTTGTTCTCTTGAGAGTCTTCAAGTATGATGCCCCTCTCCAATGAATAGCCTTGCCTAGCTACATGTTTAAAGCATGAAAGACAAACCTTTGCCATTTTGCCTCCAAGCAGCACTCTGGCTATACTCTTTTCAAGACATTATCTGATTATTCTTTTAGCAGTCCATGGGATATTCAGTACTATTCTCCAGCACCACACTCAAAAGCATCAATTCTTCTTCTGTAATCCTATTCATTGTCCAGCTCTCCCTTGTGAAGCTGGTGACTGAGAAGGCCATAACCCGAATTCAGTGCACCTTAGTCTTCAAAATGATACCATTTCTCTTTAGCATTCTGAAGAGGTCCCTGACAGCAGACTTGCCCAACACAATACATCTCCTGATTTCCTGACTGCTAGTGCTAAGGGTGTTGACAGAATTCTATCTAGTGAATTTCTCCATGGCACAATCATAACTATCTGACTCTCATAATTATCTGTCAAACAAATGTTTAAATCAAGAAACCAGTCACAGAGTATTAATTTATGCACAAAACCCATGAATGGTTCTCCACTCCACCTCAATTTACCAGTTAATGCTAAGAAATTCACCAAAACCTAGATAAATAAGTGCCTTGATAGTCAGTTTTTAAAAACCTTGAATCCTCATTGCTAGGAACAGAGGCAGAAAACCAGCAATCTCAAAATCTGAGTGGTCAGTTTTCTCCCTGTAATTCCTGACTGTGTCCTTCTACCTCCAATAAAGCAGCATGCATAGTCTGTAGACAATGACATTGCTGGCTGAAAAAGGCCATGCATCTCTGGAGGTTCAAATCCACCAACTATCCCACACCCACACATTAAGATGGGCAACATCCTCCCTTATCATTTATAGCTTCCAAAAACCTGTTAAAGGGTGAACTGAGCCAGTTTTGACTCAAAAAGCAATGACTTTGGTCTTTTGACTGGGGAAATTACAACACAAATTCCAAAAACAATGTCAGAACTACTTTTTGTCCCAAGAGGATATAAATTTAAGTCACAATGACAATCCTGTCACTATGAATGAGGCTAACATAAAAAAATATTTTAGAATAACCTAGGATTTTCCCTTTTCATTATTTTGACTTTCATATTTACTAAGTAATGAAAAAAAAGTTGGTATTACTTGGGTTTCTATATCCGCTACAGTAATTTAAAAATAAAATTTTTGGTGTGCAGTTTGAATATGCCAGACACTCTGCTGGAGAAGGAGGGGCAATCTCCTCCTGTACTAGTCCGATCAGATTTGATGGTACATACATACAAAAAAAGTAACAGTTAAAAAATAAAAGTAAAATCTTTGAAATAAATCCTATTGCTGTGTACCACAGTTAGAACCGACCCACAGCTGACCCTCCAGCGGGTTTTTCAGAGACAGTTAAATGAACCGAAGGAGACTGACCATCCTCCCGTGGAGCAGCTAATGGATGTGAACTGTGTGCCTACAGGATCACTGCGCAGCTTATTGCCACTGGTTTATGGAGCTCTGCTGGCCTAGTGGTAAGGAGTTGTGCTGTCAACCCATATGGTTCAAGTATACCAGCCACTCTTCAGGAGAAAGATGAGCAAGCTCCTCCTGTGTGATTTAGAGCCTCTGAAAATCCAGTGAAGGGTCAGCTGTGAATCAGTTCCAATTCATTGGCATATAACACCAACAAAGACTAGTTAAGGGAATTTTCATTGCCTAGCCTGTAGGGAGTTGCTGTCCATCTGAATCCACAACCTTTAACCAAGGGAGAAAGATGAGCAGTCTTCACCTGTGCAATTTACAGTCTCAGAAACCTATTTCACCCACACAGTACTGAGGTTTTTAAAGACAGACTAGTCTGTTTTCAACTAGAGTTTCTAGTTCATTTTAGGAAAATCACTTTTATTCACATTTACAAGAGTACTTGTATTGTTTTGCAAAATTATTCTCTAGAACAAAAACTTGAAGGCAAATATGTAAAGAATTTCTTTTTAACTTTATTCTATTGAAAGTCACTCGGCTGAATTTTTTAAACTTTTTTTTTTTAAACTGTCAATAGAGTATGTCAAGAAGTGTTGCTGTGTGTGGAAAAAACTCTGTAGTTAAGAAGTTACATAAATACACACTGAGTCACACTACTGTGTACAACTTAAAATTTATTAAACATATACCGTGCTAGGAGCTGTTATCAAAGATGAATATAAAAACAGCTCCTTCCTACTATGAGCACAAGATCAAGTATAACAGTCATGGAAAGAAATTATCATCATGCAAGAATAAAAAGGTTTTGACATAGGGGTTTTGTCAAAGCACAAAAAAGGCAGTCATCACCCCAAAGCCTTACTCAGTCCACGATACTGCATACTTGTTAACGTTCAAGTGCACCCTTCCTGTACTGCTTCCTGCCTTCTGGTGATAAAGTCTGAACACTGCTTCTCTCATTCCAAATTAGCCATACCTTGAACCACCAAATTGGAAAGCCAGGATTAAGAAAAATAATTTCTCCTACAAATTCTCCAATAGTAGCTGCAGTGGCAAGATGCTGCTGTTCTTTGCTTGGCATGTTTATATCTTCAGCAACATTACAGAAACATCAAAACATCTGCCTGTGGCATCTTCTATTCTGGCGCTTGCCACAGACAACTGGTATTATAGCTGTGTTTCTTGATACTCATACTACAGAATAAAGAAAAATCAACAGGAAAAATAACCTAGAGCTCCCATACAGAATATGTAGTGTAGCTAATTCTAAATTAATACCTCTTGATGGCCTTCCACTTCGAGGAAAAAGTATGGAGTCCAAAGAACATGCCATGCTTATCAGCTCTCCTGCCATCCTCAAAACAACTCTAATTCTGAGCTATCTTAAAGCAACACACTTCTGGAAAGCTGCAGTTTTGCACTCAAGTAAGGGAAACTGTTAAACCAGACTGGGGGTAGGGGGAGAAATGGACAAGGCAATTCTGTTTCAAAAGTGTCTCATTAGTACATCATCCTATGCTTTAGAATGTAAGATTCTCCCTTTCCTAGAGTGGGTTCAAGATACTAAAGAGAACACCAGGTATTCCCAATTCAGACCAGGATAAATTGCCATTAAGTTTGCTAGCTCCAACACAAGAGTAGTGCTGCTGTAGCCAACGATTCCTTGGCATACAGACACATTAGAATGATCCTGGCAGCAGCACCAGCTCTTCTCTTTCACCCTCGGCTGTTCCTATAGTCCTTTTGCTAAATCTGCCTCTAAGCTCAGGCGGGAGCTGGGTGGTTCATAATCACCCAGCAGCTGCAGCTGAGCAATACTCTGCCTAATTGTGGCGCTGGAGCAGCTGAGAAGAAGAAAAGAGATAATACATACCCTACCATAGACACACGCAAACGGCTGCACACACTACAAATAAGACACCAAGATATTTTAATAGAACAGGTTCTTCAAAGAACGTAGTTGTAACTCGTTAAAGGAACTTGTGTTTATACCATAAGCCTTTTAAATATGAACTGAAGATGACCTAAACCATGTAGGGTTCTGAATTTTTACTGTCATTTCCTCATTTAAAAAAAAAATCTGCTCACAAGTATCATCCTTATGATTGCAAATTCCTGTGATATAAGAACTTAGTACAGCTGTAATCTCTTTGTTAATCTCACTTTGTAATAATGTATCCAAACCAACAAATTAATCAGCAAACCATAAAACAAGTAAAGCAGCACCAACATTTTTGACATTTCCACACCATTTATTTTCTTTTGAAATAATTTGTTCTTCTTTCAGATGTACAATACAGCATATTCTCTAAGTAAATGAGTACTTATTGTTATGCTAGGAATATAATTTTAAGAACATAAAAATTGAGATGAAATTGTTATGTGCCGTCAAGTCACTTTTGACTCATAGCAACCCTATGTACAACAGCCCTAAAACCTGCTCTATCCTGTGCCAATCACACTGTCTCGTCTCTGACACACCCATCCCGATTACCCCAGTCACTGAATCAATCCACCTCATAGAGGGCCTTCCCCTCCTGCGCTGTCCCTTCACCCTCCCAAGCATCATGTCCCTCTCCAAGGACCTCTCCCTCCTTACAACATGTCCAAAGTATGTTAGACGGAGCCTCAGAATCCTTGCCTCCAAGGAGCAGCCCAGTTTAACCCTCTCCAGGGTGAATCTGTTTGTTTTCCCAGCAGTCCATGGTACCCTCAATACTGTTTTCCAGCACCACAGCTCAAAGGCATCAATTCTCCTTCTATCCTCCTTAGTCACTGTCCAATTCTCTGATGCATAACAAGTGATAGAAAAGACCATGGCCTGTATCAGACGCACCTTAAGTCTCCTGAACTGGAAAAAAAAAAGACTGAAAATGGACAAACGTCAACTTAAAATCTTGAAGTCAATTTTTAGTTTAATGCCATGTTATACAACTTTCTGAAAAAATGGTATGTTTTATACTTGATCACCACACTGCTGCTATTGTTATGTGCGGTCGAGTTACTTGCAAATCATAGTGACCCTATGTACGACAGTTCTGAACCCTACTTTATCCTACTTCCATTACCCCAGTCACTGAGTCAATCCATCTCATCCACGGTCTTCCTCTCTTACTCTGTCCTTTCACCCTCCCAAGTGTAATGACCCTCTTCAAGGACTGGTCCCTCCTGGCAACATATCCAAAGTATGTCAGATGGAGCTTCAGAATCCTTGCCTCCAAGGAGAAGTCTGGTTTCACCCTCTCCAGGAAGAACCTGTCTGTTCTACTGGCAGTCAGTACTCTTCTCTAGCACCCGAGCTCAAAAGCATCAATTCTCCTTCTATCATCACTAGTCACTGTCCATCTTTCTGATGCATTGCAAGTAACTGAAAAGACCATGGCCAGTATCAGGTGCACCTTAGTCTCCCCACAGACATCATTGCTCTTTAGTACTTTGGAGAGGTCTCTGATTGCAGACTTTCCCAATGCAATTCGTCTTTTGAGTTCTTGCCTGTTGGTACCAAGAGTACTGATTGTTAAGCCAAGCAAACTGAAGCTGTTAACAATCTCAATCTCTTCACCCTCTATCATGAAGCTGCCAATTGGCCCAGATGTGTGAATCCTTGTTTTCTTGATGTTGAGCGTCAATTCACATTGAAGGCCGCAGTCCTTGACCTTCTCCATTAGTTCATTTTTGACTGCCAGGAAAACAAACAGATTTATCTTGGAGAGGATTAAACCAAGCTACTCCTTGGAGGCAAGGATTCTGGGGCTTCGTCTGACATACTTTGGACATGTTGCCAGGAGGGACGGGTCCTTGGAGAGGGACATCATGCTTGGGAGGGTTGAGGGACAGCGCAGGAGGGGAAGACCCTCTATGAGATGGATTGATTCGGTGACTGGGGTAATCGGGATGGGTGTGTCGGAGGCGGTGCGGTTGGCACAGGAGAGAGCAGGGTTTAGGGCTGTTGTGCATAGGGTCGCTATGAGTCGGAAACGACTCAACGGCACAACAACAACAATATTACTTCACAAGCCAAACTCACAAATTCACAAAGTCACTCAATACCATGGAGTTGAAACCAAGTCAGCACCCTCCCCAGCAGGTTTTGGAAAGGTGCAAATCACAATGGGAGGAGTTGTCCAGATTCAAATCTCCAGAGATGCATTGCCTTTCGGTTAGTAATCCAACTGCACACACACTCTTCCACTAGTGCTCCCTATACAAGATGAAAAGGATTCTGAAACCTCAGTGTAAACGCTGCTATCTTCTCTCAAAATATTAACACAACTAGCTTATTCTTTAAAAATCAAGAAGAACTTTATTTAGCAATATTTTTCAAAATCCTTTTATCATTGTATTATTTGGGAGTGAGTATTTTCAAGATAGTTAGATGCACTAGTTTATCTATGGTAACTAAATGTTAACAAATCTAATACTGTGTGGGAGCTCTGATGGCTTCGTGGTAAGGAGTTGTGATGCCAACCAAAAGACACACAATTCAAATCTATCAGCTGCTCCATGAGAGAAAGATTAGCAATCTCTTTCCATGCAATATACTGGCTCTTAAAACCTACAGGAGAGTCAGCCATGAGTTGATACATAATGACAACAACAACAATTCTGTTCGGAAAGGATAGCACAGATAGTCTCTAGATATTAAGTTCTCAAATCAAGACACTTAAACAGTGTACATTATATACGGCTTTCTTTTTTAAAATATTGTTTGATGAGCCAAGTCTGTATTGGTTGACATGGTAATTTAAAAATGTGATATTAAAACCAAAACTCAAACTCTTTGCTGTTGAGTTAGAACAGACTCAGCAGAACTTCTACTTAGTTTTCAAGGCTACAAATCTGTTTTTCTCTTGCGTGGAAGAGCTAGTGGATTCAAACCAACAGAAAGGCTCAGCCTGTGGGTTAGCAATGTAGCTCCCTACTTCACCAGAGCTTCCTATTGATATTAGATGTCTTTATTCATATAATGCTCATAGGATCTAATGAATGGTGCCTCCACTGCAAAGACTCATTAGACTGAGAACTATAAGGAAAAATTATCCACATCAATACATTATCTACTGCCGTTGCTGTTGTTTATCGTTGAGTCAGAACCGACCCACAGCTGACCCTCAAGTTCGTTTTCAGAGGCAGTATATAGCGTTGAGTTGAGACTGTCCATCTTTCTCCCATGGAGCAGTTGTTAGATTCAAACCGTGAATGACTGCACTAGCAACTCAATTCCTTACTACTGAGCCACCACTATTTACTACCTAAATAGACTCAAATCTGAACTTTGCATAAATAAATCTCGGGCCTTAAGTTGTTAATCAGTTATAACACACTATTGTTACTTTTGCAAAGCATAAAGGAAACTTATTTGCACATTTCATCCTGAATTTGAAAAAAAAAACCCAAAAACCTAAACCATGTATTAATATTATACTTCAGCCCTACGACAAATTCCACCTATCCCAAGAAGACAGTCAAAGCTATAATTTCACTTTTGGTTGAACAGAAAGGAGTCAATTTTGTGGTTTATGAAGTCAGCAAAAACATACTGCAAAATTAAAGCTACAACAACATTATGGTAGTTACAGCAGACTACATAATTTTAAAGAACCCTTTTTTCCTTCATCCCAGAAACATGCATTTGATTTATCTATCATCTGCAATTAGATCTGGGATAGATGATTTTTCCCTTTAAAATTTAGGACCTTTAACTTGTCAACTTCACTTTAAATCTCCAGTGATATGCAATAGTCAATGTTACCAAATTAATTTTATTAAGCTTCACACAGAACATATATGCACACAGAGTTGAGTAAAATACAATTTTCAAACAGTGCATCCACTTCCTAAACCACATGCCTCTGAAAAGTCTATGAACTTGGAGAAACAACGATAGCTATGGAAAAGCATTAGGTCTTTTGTTCATAGAGTCGCTATGAGTTGACAGCGACTTGACGGCAATCAACAACAGTATATCAAAATCTTACACGTGATGAATACAAAACCGTTGGCTTTCAATACATTAACTGTCCTTTCAAAATGTTTACTGCCCTCTGGGTATCAAGCACTGTGCTACTAGATTTACCATTTGCTTTGCCTGAAACACCTTAAAATCATATGTATCATGATACTTAGTGATTTTTTTCCTAGTGTGTAATTTAACTACAGAAAACTTATTGAAATGGTTAGAAGACAGAATTATCAAAAAATCTTGGTACAGCTGCAAAGCAAATAAGCTACAACTATAAATTACAACAGCCTGAAGCAGTAGAACATACCTACATAATAAAAAGGCATGTATATAAAGTTATGGTTTTACCCAGAAACTTAAGTTTTCCTTTACTCGCTTTAACAATCTGAAAATGACGAGATTTTGTTATTCCACGCTTGCATCAATTAATCATGCATGACATACTTCAACCAAATCCAAAGCACGTCGTCTCCTACTCACTAAAAAAGGAGACTCTACATCGGACTTGATTTTTGAAGAGCGTCTTAAACTCAACCTCATGCCCAATGAAGCAAAAGCTGGGAGCAAGTTAAGAAAAAAAGGAAAACACTTTCAAACAAATGTTCTGTAACTCATGTGGACCGGGAAGCGAAGCACACGGGAGGCGGAGGGGCAGAGCACTGCAAAAGTGGATCCTGAAAGGCATATTTCCTCCCCCAACCCCCAACCCAAAACAAAGGAAAACTTTTAACATGTTGCGGCTTTCAATCAAACCAAGTAAAAGAAGACGCTCCCTCCACCCCCCACCTCCATGCACTTCTCGCCCAGCACAGTTGCCACCGGGTGTCAGCGGACACACAGGTCCCCAACCTCGGGGACAGGAAGGGGCGGCTCACCTCGGTGGTGGTAGCCCAGCAGGAAGGGGGTCGGAGGCTCGGGGCCTCCAGGAGGGCCGGGCGCGGCCGGCGGGCGGAGCCGGGGCCGCGGGCGAGCAGGTAGCTCCGGGAAGGAGACACGCCCGCGGGCCGAGCGCCGGCGAGCCGGGCCGGGGGAGGGGAGAAGTTTCTCCCCAACTTCCCGACTCGGAGCCCGCGGGGGCGGGGAGCTGCGGCGGGGCGCGGGCGGCCGGCGGGGCCTAGCGCCGTCCTGTGCGGGGCCGGCGAAGCCGCCAGGTCCTTACCTGCCCTCGAGCCGCGCTCGCAGAAGTCGCCGGGGCGGCGGTGGCGTCTCGGGGCGGAGGGGAGGGGGCGGCGGCAAGGCCCGGGGCCCGGGGCCCGGTCCCTCCTCCACCTCCTGGTCCCGGGGCGCCGGGCGGCAGCAACGACGGAGAGCCAGCCGTGGGCCCGGTCCTTGAGGAGGAGGGAACTCCGGCCGCCCAACCCTCCGCCTGGCCCGCGCCCTCCGCCTCGCGCGCTCGCCACCGCCCTCCCGCTCGCGGCTCCGCCCTCTCCCGGCGGGGCGGGGCGCGACAGGCTACGGTACCTGCGCGCGCCCGGCCGTCGGCTCACCGGAACTCGCGCCCGCGGCGCCTGGCGTCCCCTTTCCGGCGCCGGCGCGCTCAGCGCCCCGCGCCCCTCGGGTCCGGCTGGTCGTCGGCGGGCCCGAGTCACTTCTCCCGGCCCAACATGGCGGCGGGGTCCGGCACTGGTTCCCGAGGCGGAGCGGGCTGAGGGGGCGTGAGCAGCAGGCGCTGTGCACCCCGAGGAGCGACCGCCGGCGCCCCTCCCCACGCGCGCCCCCGCGGCCCCTCGGACGGCTGGCGGGGCTGCGGCGCACGCCCCGGCTTTGCTCTTTCTAACCCCGCTCCCTCGGGTGAGGGCTCTGGCGTGGGAACGGGCAGGGTTGAGGATTTGGGGGGCTTGTTGGCTCCGTGCTCGGCTTCCACACCTTCTGTCGCTGGTAGTGAGATCTCAGCGCCGCCACGGGAGGCGTCACGAACACCCTCCTCACCTTCCTGGTCGCCGTCCAGAAACGCTGGCCGCCGGCCTGCGGTCCCGCTGGGACGCTGCCCCTGCCCCGGGAGCTTCCTGTTGACGGAGGGCGACCCGCGTGTCTGCTGGCGACTCCCCCAGTGATGGTAAAACGGGTTTCCTGCAGGGTCCCCGCCACAACCCGGGGCGAGCTGGGTCAGGTATTCTTCCAGCTGTGGGAGCAGAGGCTGAGCTCCCCGGAGTGGAACGGCCACAGCTCGGATCCTGTTCATATGAGTCCAGTCACCTTTGCCATTTTCCTGTAACCATTCCCTGAAGGAGGTGGGGGAAGGATCTGGAAGCAACTGGGATAAAGATAAGGCTTAGGCAAGGTCCAAGCACGCTCCTTATGCTAAAATCACTTCTGCTCTGACTCTTCAACTGACTTCCTCTTTGCATTTCCTCTTTGGTGGGATTGTTGTTTAATGTGGGATTGTTGGTTTCTTTTGTGTGGTTTTAGCCAAATTCAGAATGATCTTCTGTAGATACTCTCAGATTAACACCAGTTTCAGAATTCGGCTCTTCTAGGAACTCGGGAAATGCATATGAAGGTTTAAAAAAAAATTGTGTTTCCTCATCTCGACAAAGATAGACATAAATAGGCTTGTAAACAAAAGATGGATGGTACTTGTATTTAGCTGCTAAAAATTAATTTGTCATAAACTGTCTTGGGCGTTTTTTCCGTACAAGCTATTGTTTTGTATTTATTGTATGTAAATTTACATTGAGCTTTTGTCTTTCCAAAATTACAAATAAAATCAACAAAATTTTGGTGTTTTGTTTTCATAAACTTTCAACCTTAAAAAAAAATCTTCCCTAAAATACTTCATTTTTCCCAGTTTAAGGGTTGACGTGGCTTTCAGTTTCTCTGTGGGATTTTAATGGTGGGGAGAGGATAACAAAATCTGCAGGAGTACTCCTTGGAGTCAAGGATGCTGACACTTTGGCTCATATTCTGTGGGTGTATTGTTAAGAGCGACAAGACTGGAAAAAGACTGAGAAGCGCCTGAGAGAGCTGGATTCACACAGTGACTGTAACAATGGGTTTAAAGCTTTCAATCTGTTGACACAGGGGTGTTAGGAATCGGTCAACTTGACTCCTATCAACAAGAACTGCAAGGTTCAATGCCATGTACATTATCCCTTCTTAGTTTTTCCCCTAACCCCCAGTCAATCCTGTTATAAGTGGTATTTATACAGTATTTGTCTTTTTGTGACTGAGATATTTCACTAAGCATAATGTCCTCCATGGTCACCTATTTTGTCTAATGAGTTGTTTTTCAGTGCTGCATAATATTCCATTGTGTGAATATACCACAGCTCCTCTATCCATTTGTTTTTTGATGGGCACTTGGGTTGTTTTCAACTCTTTGCTATTGTGAACAAAGCAGCAATAAACATGGATATGCATATATCTGCTTGGGTGATGGTTCTGGTTTCTTTACGGTATATTCCCAGAGAACTATATAAAAGGAATATAGGAATAGGTATTGTTGGTATGACAAGACAGTAATAGCTACATAGTAAAGTGGTCTTGGTGGGGGGACCTGTATAACAATGAGAGAACTTTTTGTTCAAAGAAAAAAAGCAAACTGGGGACGGGGCAAAATGTACAACAAAGAATGAATGGAAATCCAAGTTCTTTATAAACTTAGAATAAAATCTCAATTAAAAAAGACCAGCAAGGTTCAAAATCAAGAAAGGCGTTCATCAGGGATGTATCCCTTCTCCATCCATATCCAATGCTGAACAAATTGTTTTAAGAAACGAAGAATGTGGTGCCAGGATCAGGGAAGACCATGAACAACCTGCATTATGCAGATGATATGCAGCCTTACTCACTGAAAGTGAGGAGGACTTGTAAGTACTTACTGCAGATGATCAAGGGTTACAGCCTTTAATATGGATTATATTTCAATATCAAGAATCTTGGCTTTTTCAACATTCAAGACAAATCCTCATCACTGGGCTGATAGGAGATGGAGAAAATACAAGAACTTGTCAACAATTTCATCCTACTTGGAGGCACAATCAATATGCTTGCAAGCAGCAGTCAACAAGTCAAAAAGCAAGTCGTGTTGGGTGAAATCTGCTTTCAGGGACTTCTCCAGAGTACTAAAGAGTAATGTGGTGTGCTGGTGTGCGTTTGGTTTGGAACTGACTCAGCTGACCTTCCAGTGGCTTTTCAAGTCAGTTTATTCACACAGCAGGAGATTGCCCATCCTTTTCTCACACAGCAGCTGGTGGATTCAAACTGCATGCCTTTGTGATTGTAAGACAGATTCTTAGCACTAGAACACCAGAGTTCCTAAAGGGTAATGATGTGAGTTTAACTTTATTCAGGCCATGGTCTTTTCAAGTACTTGCTATTTATCTGAAAATTGGACAAGGATAATAACAAAAGAGATGTTTTTGAATTGTAGTGTTGGAGGGGAGTATTGAAATATCCCATGGACTGCCAAGAGAACAAGCAGGTCTGTCCTGGAGAAAGTGAAATCAGGTGCTCCTTGGAGGCAACGATAGTGAAATTCAGTCTCACTTAGGGTATGTTGTGAGGAGGGTCCGGTCCTTGGAGTACATCATGCTTGGAAATGTGGAAGGTCTGCCTAAGGGAGGAAGACCCTCAACAGGATGGATTGACGCAGTGACTGACAATGGGCTCACATGTGTCAGAGATGGTGAGAATGACATAGGATAGGGTAAGGTTCAGATCTGTTCACAGGGTCACTATGAGTCAGAGTCAACAGCATAAACTAACAGCAACAATATTGCTGTGTATTTTTTTTTCTTTTTTAAGGAAAGTACCCTACCTTAGTCTGTCTTCTTTATTTTTTGAATATTCATTATCTAGTGCAAACCTTCCATATAAATAACATGGAGACTTGTCCATCTTATATTCAGTGGCTCATTTGTTAACCAGTAATAGGTGTTTAAAATGGAAAGAATTTGGAAAGGTTTCCCTGCAATTGATAATAATAGAAATTGCTGTTAACAGAAAATCTCATTTATGAAATGAACAATGAGGAACCTCACCTTATGTTTCCCTCCCACACAAGATAAAGGCCTGCTGTTGTTGCTTTTTTATATTAACTAGTAATAGCAACCCTATGTTCAACAGAATAAAACCCTACACAATCCAGCACCAACCTCCCAGTTCTGTATATAAACCTAAAGTTGCAGTTATTTTGTCAATCCATCTCACTGAGGGTCTTCTTTGACCTATTTTCCTAACATATTGTCTAAGACAGATTTGTTCTATTGGCAAGCAGCCTGTGGGGTATTCAATATTCTTCACCACTACCACCATGATTCAAAGGCACCAGTTCTTTGATTTTCCGTATTCATTGTCCAACTTTTACATATATGTGAAGCAACTGAAAATGTCATGGCTTGACTCAGACATACGTTAATTTTCAAAGTAGCATCTTTGCTTGTTAGCACTTAAAAGGAGTCCTTAATAGCAGATTTCCCCAATGCAGTAAGTCATTTCATATCTTCTGCTTTCATGAGCTTTTATTGTCAACACAAGTAAAATCCTTGACAACTTCTATTTTTTTCATTGTTTAGCATAATGTTGCACATTCATCCATTAAGAGGATTTTTGTTTTCTTGATGTTGAGGTATAATACAAACTAAAGGCTATATTGTCGATGTTATTGATTGCAATTGAGTCAAGCACGACTCAGTGACCCTATGAACAAAAGGCCTGAAGCCCTTCTATAACTACTTATCAAAGATTATAGTTTACCAAGGCATGTTTTTTAGGCATTTGAACTTGATTAGTAAGTGCTTCAAGTCTTCATTTTCAGTAAGTAAGGCTGTACCATCTGCTTTTTGCAGGTTGTTTATACTGCATTTTTCTATATAATCCACCTCCTCAGATTATTTGTTCAGCATACAGATTGAATATACAGTATGAAAGAACACAACACTGATGCTTATTTTTCCTGATTTTAAACCACATATTGTTCTGTTTGAATGCCCGATTCTTGGTCTATGTACACATTCTGTAGAAGCATAGGTGTTCTGGGATTCCTATACTTTGCAATGTTATTCATAATTTATAATGATGCATGTAGTCCAATGCCTTTGTATACTTAGTAAGACACAAGTAAAGAGACATCTGACTGATTAGCGCTGCTTTTATTCAAGACCTATCTGACATCGGCAGTGATAACCCTCATTCCATGCATTCTCCTTTTGATTCCAGCTTGAATTTCTGGCTCTTGTTCATGCACTGCTTCATTCACTTATGAATTATCTCCTTTAAGTTTTTACCTGTGTGAGACTTTAAAAAATTGTATGACAGTGTGAAGACAGCTGATTCTGACCTTTGTTATTCCACAAGGGAGAACTGTCCCCATCAACATCCTCAACACCAAACCTATTCCCATGAGATCAGACATGTTCCCACATTCTTACCCTTATATCCACCACTTCAGATACCAATTGTCCCTTTCAGCTCTGTGTTCTACTAGTGGGTCTGCAATCCATTGTAGTGGCCACACAGACTTTATTGAGCCAAACTTATGATTATGGGGCTTATTAGAGAAGTTAACAGGTTACAAAATCAGGTTAGCAATGGGATATAATTTCTCATTCAGGACTGCTGTTCAAGCTTGCTTGCAGGCCCATTGGCCTTCAGCTTTACGGCTATGGCCAGTGTTACAAAGCTCTCTTCATCCAGCCCATTATGGTGGCTCCTCTCAAGCAAGCTTGGATGAAGGCCCAGGCTTTGGCTCCGTGGTGAACTAGTAGAAATCAGCTCTGTCTCATGTCTCTAGTTCACTGCTGCTGCTCTCATATAAGTCCCATTCCAATTGATGCAGCAATCTCTAGTCCTGAAGAATACGTGTATTGCATTTCCTGTTTCTTCTCTATTGGCAGTGAGTTTCTTAATTTTTGTCACTGAATTTGATCAGTTTAATCCTGTTGGGATGACAAAACTGGCCAATCCTCTTATGAATAGGCTATTGCTATGTGCCATCAAATTGGAAATGACTCATAGCTGACCCTCCCCATAGGTTTTCAGGGGCCATAAGGAGGAGACTGTCCAGCTGGTGGATCCAAACCATGTGCTTTTGTGTTGTCAGCATGGTCTCTTAACCACTAGACCACTAGAACTTCCTCGTGAATAAACTATAAACCATATTTGCATGTTCCCACTCAGTCATGTGGCAAAAGTGAAAGGCAATGGCCTAGAAAAGACATTTTGAACAATAAACTCATTGTACTATAAGTGATATTAATTGTTCACTGATTTCCTCATTGTACTTGGTCACCTTTTCTTTTTTTTGAAAGGGCA